CTGTAGCCCCAGCTGTCCTGGAACTCACTATGCAGACCAGGCTGGCCTTGAACTCACAGACATCCGCCTGCCTCTGCCTCCCGAGTGCTGGGATTAAACTCTTCACCTGCACTTACTCTTTCAGAAGGTCCTTGAGGAGTCCTTTATCTGCCTTCAGACTGAAATGATCCCAACCTCTGGTGCAACCCTCTGCACTTGCCTCTTTATCCCCTGCCTTGACCCACTCTATGCATTCCACAGGCTCACGTCAGATTAATTTTGGAAATGCAGGTCTGATCTTGCCTTACTTCTGTTTGTAATTCTGTAATCATATGTACAGTTCTAGCACACATCATAGTCATATGCACATATACATTCTACCTGCTGCAATGAACTCTAAATATGAAAATCCAGATTTTTATTCATCTTAGTAGTCTTTACTCATCAATTCAAAAACTTCTAATGAACTCTGAATGAGACAGAGCACACCTATAATCCCAAACCTGAGAGGGTGAGGCAGGAGCATTAAAAGTTTGAGACCCAATAAACGTGAGACTCTGTCTCTAAAAGAACAAACAAAAATGTCCAAGGCCTATATGGTATGAACCAGGCACTACATCAGCCCCTAGAAAGAAGAGTCAAATCATTCCCTACTACTTATTTAAAATCTCACTGGAAAGGAGAAAGAGGCTATAGAAGGTACAGTTACACAATGAGAAAAGTATAATATAAATAAAATTATACATACTAATATGATTATAATGTATATTATATCTGCATAGGCATCAACTAATATAGGATCACACAGAAGGGATTCCTACCAAACTCTTAGGCAGAGCAAGAAAGTCTTCTCAGAAGTGACGCCTAAACAGTGCCTCCCCATAAGCGAGTATAGATGGTGACAAAAGAAAGCTTGAGAGAGGTACAAAGAAACGTCACAGAGGGGTTCTTCAATCATCTCAAAGCATATAAAGTTTATGGACTATAGCAGACTTAGCAGCAGAGCACTTCCCTAGCTCTTGAGAGGCCCTGTATTCTATCACCAACACAGCAAATAATAAATAAATAAGTATATAAATAAATAAATAAATAAATAATGCAGTTTATCTTGAAGAAATTGAATTATTTAATAAGAGTGACATAATCAGCATTGTACTTTAAAATGAACCCTCTAGTCAAGTGTGGTGACACAGGCCTTTAGATGCTAGCACGCAGGAGGCAGAGACAGGCAGATCTCTAGGAGATCAAGGCCAGCTTGGTCTACAGTGAGTTCCAGGCCAACTGAGATTGCAGAGAGATCCTCTTAAAAAAATAAAGAAAAATAAAAATAGAATGAATAGAAGTCGGTCAAAACGTCTGTAGAACAGGGGCTGGGGGAGTCGAGAGATGGCTCAGCACTTAAGAGCACTGGCTGTTCTTGCAGAGAACCTGGGTTCAATTCCCAGCATCCACATGGTGGCTAACAACCATTTGCAACTGTAAGATCCAGGTCCAGGAGATCCAACCCCTTCTTCTGATCCCCTTGGGCATTGCAAAACACGGGTGCACTTACATACATCTGGGCAATATATGCATACACATAAAAGAAAAATAATAAAATATTCTTTTTAAAAATGTAGAATAAGTGAATAGGTAACTAGTAGCATAATAAAAATCTTTCACTAATTCAGAGATTGAAAATATCCTTGACTCTGTGATTTTATGACAAGATTAACTGGCCTTTTCTAAGATGTGCATTTTGATTCAACAACTCAAGGAAAAGAGGTCAGAGGCAGGGATGCTGCAAGGGAGATAATGAACTAATAAGACCTGATGGAGCAAAAGAGGAAGAAAGTTCACCAAAGTGTGACTAGTTCAGTTTAGTAGGTACCAAAGCCTAGAAAGGAAGGCTTGCACACAGAAAGCAGGGCCTCAAATGTCAGGCTGAAGATTTGGACTTCCTAGTAAAAGAGACTTTATGGAGGCTTGTTCAAGGAAAGAATGCTACCCTGCTTTAGAAAATCAAATATGACTTCAGAGGTTAAAAATAGGTGACCAGGTGATAGTAGGACTGTGAAAGAAAAAACTGATGCAGGAGACAGCTGCAAGATACGTAGGAAAAGAGCTTGGGAGAGACATCTGGGTGTGAGGGAGAGGACAGAGTGAGACGGAGGTCACAGGGAGCCTGCCACCTTCTCCAGAACCCCAGGTGCTGCGATGCAGGTGAACCCAGAGAGAGCTACATGTGAAAATCTAGAGAATGAAGGTCTTTCCCTTCTATCAAGTATTTAACCAGTGTCCACGTAGAAGAACGTGGCTATAAAAGAGGAAATGAAGGAAGAAGCAATAAAGGAAACCAGTGAGAAAGCCACCTGGGACAAACAAAAAGCAGGTCTCATTGCCTGTACACAACGTTTGGGGCTTCCTTGTATACCCTAAGCACTTCCCTGGACATATCAGACCCTAGGCCAGTCCTGAGGGACCTAGAGCCATTTGCTAAAAGGTCCTCTTTCTCACAGTAGTTGGGGTTGCCTATACTGACCAACTCTTTTTAACATGGCATCCATAAGAGGTAAAAATCATAAAGTAAATTGTTTTATTGTCTCCAGTGTGAATTCAAGTCACTTCTGTTTCTCAAAGCAACAAGTGAATATTACCTACAGATACTGAAAAAAAATAGAAAAAATTCTAAATTTATGAAACAAACCTGCCAAGTCCAGTCTATTAGCTGAAAGAAACTGACTTAACAGCTATCCCAGCCCTTATCCAAAACAATATTTTTTTGCAACCAGATTTTGTAAAAGAGTCAAGAAATTCCTCACTCATGAAAACAAATCCTACTTTCTCAGCCTTTTTCAAAATAAATTGAAACTCCATTCTTTCAAATTGGAGGACATTAAAGGCCCTGAATGTTATGCAAATCTGATGGTTTTCCTTGGCAAGTCTACCAGTTACCAGCAATTGGATTCTTCTGAATTACCATTTTTTTGGCATGGGTTAACCAATGATTGCTGTTGGCATTAAGTCTTTGTAGAACTTCAAACAGATGTCTGTTAAGCCTGATTAGTGGTTTTCTTTGGCTTCTCTTTGTTTGCAAGCTAATTATGGTCTTCTTCCTGTCTCATTTTGGTGGCCAAAGAGGCCTTAAAGAGAGCAGTTAAAAATACAAATTTAAGAATATGAAAAAGAGGTGTCAACATACATACACTTTGCCTATCGAGACATCCTACCAGCCTATAAACTAAGAATCTTATTACTAGTAAATTTAACTAATTTTTCTAAACAGTTCAGGCATACCTTCCACTATCTTTTCAAGGGTAGCTTGGGGTCTTCGGCCCCTTTAAAATTCACCTCCATACACTGTAAGATAAGGATATCATTTAAGTCAAAACAGCATGTGGGCAATAGATACTGCTTCCAGTCAAGTCACTAGGCTTCTTTCTAAGCAAATGACCACACCTACCAGGAGTCTAATGTGCTCAACTGTTCCTTTATTTGAAGACACTACAGTTAGCCCAGAAAATACTTAAAAAGTCACCTGCTTTGCTCTGTAAAATGTCAATAAAATGTGGGCATTCAGTCTTTATAACATATCATTTCTCAAACATTAAATCAAATTTAAAAACATACCAGAAATGGAACTACAGTTTACTTTTTAAAATCTCTACAAGGGAACCACTAAATCCTCTGGATCAAAGAAAGGCCACCTCTGATATTTCATAGCACCTGAAAATTCTATTTCTTGAGTAGTGTACATGTTAACAGAGGCAAGATATTACTAACCAAAAGAAAACTGTAGGGCCAAGGCTGTAGTTCAGTTGTAGAGCACTTACCTTGCATGCAAGACACCCTATATTCAACCCCTAGTAGAGAGAGAAAGGGGGGGAGGGAGGGAGGGGGGGAGGAAGGAAGGAAGGAAGGAAGGAAGGAAGGAAGGAAGGAAGGAAACCAACGTACCTATAATGTTAATGGATGCCAAGGATATTTATCTGATTGAAGTTTCCCTAATTGTAATCACAGGTAAAACTCGCTGAAAAATGTCATATTTCCAAGAGGAGAATATGCAGAATTTTGCCCAACTTCCCAAATCTTAACCACAAAACCTTAGTTTCTAACAAATCATCATTGCCCCAAAATTACAAACAATATACGAACTGCTCCTTCTGCTATTTAATTAACTTAAGTAGGCAAACAAAAGGGGGGGGTGGTCAAATCACTGATTTAACTGTCCCCACCATGTGCATACAGCTAGACCCACACTCCATCACTGAGCTATATATAGCCCAGCCCTGAAGCAGGTGTGATTTTAATTGGTCCTACCTAGTTCAAGGCTGCCCTTAAATCCAAGGCATTATTAAATGACTAGATGATACTGTGTACATGTGCTGAGATGTTATTTTTTGAATTTTGAATGAATTTTAGAATAAAATATTTGACCTAACACAAGACGTTAATTCCAGTCCCAGCTTGCCACCAACTGAATTTACCAACCACACTGTGATTTGAGTTTCAGTGTCCTCGTTTCTCCACTTCATAAAATGCCCTTTCAACTGTAAAGGCCTCACTGGAGCCAGAACGCCATCATATGCGGTCACCCACCCTGCAGCTGTTAACGAAAATCGCATGTGACAGATTCTTTCTGCTGACTTTGTAGGAAGTTAAGTAAACCGCTATCTTTCTGGCAAGATTTAAATATACCATTCCTATCTAAAGTGCACGTCCTGGGGTGCCTTCCCGTCCTCGACTAAATCATAAACCTTTCAACTAATTCGTAGAACCACAAGTCTCTGGTGGCTCCTCAGACATGCAAACTCCTCAGACATGCAAATGCAACTTCAGACAGCCAGAGGCCTAATGCTAGCCCCTTACTCCAGGTTAACCCGCCCCCTGGAGCTGAGAGAATCCAGTGCCATTCATCTGTTAGCACCTCAAACCTGAAAAACGTCAAGAAACCCTTTCTCTGGCCAGTCCCCGCCTGGAAGCCGCCGTTGGAGGAATGGCAATCCGCGGACCCACAGTCCGCAGGGCTGCGCGGGCCGTACCTGGTTGAAGTGCAACTGGCCGAGCTCCAGCGCTCCGGCGCCGGGGGCAGCCCCCAGCCGCTGCAGCAGGTGTTCCAGCTGCGCCGCTGACAGGCTCCGATTGGCTCCGAAGACGCTCAGCACGTCCTCGCTGAAGGCGAGCTCGGGCCCCTCTGCTGCGCGTCCCAAGCCCGCGGCCGCCAGCAGCAGCAGCCCGGCCACCGCGTGTCTCGGAGCCATCCTGGAGGGCGCACGACGGGGCTGGAGGACGCAGGGACCCGTGAGGGTGCCCCGATGTAGGGGCCGGGTGGGGAGACGCTGGGGTGGTGGTTAGCGCGACGCGGGACGCCCCTGGTCCTCCGCAGCACGAAGCCTTCGGGGCATGGAAGTAGCGCAGCCGAGCGGGAGGGGACAAGGCAGCTGGGGCCCCTCCGAGCCTCCTGCTGAGCCTGAGATAAAAAGAACAAAGGGGGACAGAGATAAAGGCCACCCAGCCAGCAGCCGGCCAGCCGCAGGAGCGCTGCGTGGCCACAACCCTGAGCGCCCGGCGGGGCATGGGGCCAGCTGCCCAGCAGAGGCTTCGCGGAGGCCCGGGATCTGCGCGCTGGGTGACTCGCTGGTCCTGACACCAAGCCACACGCCACACCACACTGGGGAGAACTAAACCCGCGCCGACAGAGGAGCCCCACCTCCTCTTCCTGTCTCTAGGCTTTATTCCCCTCCGCCGCGCACTTGGAAGGGTTAGAGCCGCGGCTCCCAAGGGGCTGCGGAGAAGCGCGCCTTCAGGGTCCAGGGGTTCGCGCGTCCCAGCCGGATCCCCCCTCTCTTGGGGCTCTTTTGCGGGCTTGGCAAGTTGATAGTAAGGAATCGCTAGCCTCTCACCTTTCCTATCAGTTTGTGTTGGTCTCTGAGGCTCAAAAT